AGAAAATTCGCGGTTACGAAACGTGATTCAAACTCTGCCGGCAAGGAAATATTCTACTCCGGCGGTTGAGTTCTTTCTCGCGACAATTCACATGATTTTCAAATATACAACCGGCACTCTTTTTATGCAATTTGGAATTTCTCTTTTACTTATTATTTTAATTTCAGCCAAATTGTACTGACAAAACCCCGGCAATGTATAAAAACTGAATTCATCACGCTGGTATAAAACAAGCCGTGCTTTCGTTGTTTTCAAATCCGTCACGAACTTTGCCGAAACTATTGGCCATCGCGTTCACTGACTTTATGCAGTTTGGAATATAAAGTCTTCCCTCGCTGGCATCAAGTGTATTTATTTTCCAAATGGTACTGCCAAAACCCCGACATGTCACTTGTTGTAGCTATTCAGCTATTCAGGTTGAACTCCGTAGAGAAAACTTGAATTTGTCAAGAGCGAACAAATTATTTCAAATCCGCACGCACTTTTATTCGAGGAAACATACTGTACAGCTGTCGCATTCCAGTTTTCACGCAGTTTGGAGTTTCTCTTTCATTGACTCGCATATATTTTCCTTCCAAATCGTACTGCTAAAAACTAGTCAAAGATAAAAGGGTTGAAATCGAAAATCCACGCCGTAGAACTGCACAAAATTTCATTCATCTGTATTCATCGCGAACGAACAAGTTGCAATTTCATTGTTCTGTACTCGACATCGGATTGGCTCAATTCAAAAATGTTGGAATGTATTGTTCCCGTTCTGCCCTGTGATTGGTTAACTTTGTCTGGGTGGCCCCGGTTACAGTAGTTTTGACTGTAAGTACGATAAATTTGAAGTCAACGCGGGGCACTTTCTGCCCCCACCACCCCCCCCCCCCCCCCACCCACCCCCCGACGAGCCAGAATAGGGTTAATGCGCACCATTCTCGGCAACAAGTACGACACACATGCATGCATTTTAGGCTATTTTCGTTAACGTTGAAACGAAAATGTGACACCATTGACACCTTCACCCCAACCAGGCAGGACAATTAATGAAAACAAAAAAGCTACGGAGTAGTTGAACGGAAAACAAATCTTAAAAATCTATGCGAATTAAGATCAGATATCCAAACCGCTGTCACAGTTATAATTTCCTTTGTTTAAAATCCAATGAATTATTTGAAATTAGTTTGATAACCACGATAGCTTATAATGGGATGGTAATCATGATATTTTTGTTGTTTTAAAAATTAATTAGACACTGCCCACGCATTTATCTAAAGTTTCATTTAACAACAGGTCGCAACAGAGTTTATCAAATATTGTTCTAAAGTCAGCCAGGACCGGAACCCATGGTACCCGGAGCCTCCATACGTACTATATCCTTGAGTCAAGACCGCTTCGCCGTATCTTTTTATTTTAGAATTGATCTCCCGCGAAATAATCTTGTTTTCATTCTTTACAACCGAGGGAAACTGGGTTGTTAGCTGACTGGAAGGTAATAAACAACTTTGACTGGCTGAAAGCGAATAGCCTGCGTTGCAGCCGGTATCCGGTGTCAAAATAGGCTGTCTGCGACGCAGGCTAAAAGCGAAGGAATCTCATATATCACGATAGCTGTCTGGTCTGTCTCCGGCGAGGAGGGGGGCGGAGGGGGGGGGGTGTACCCTTATATAAGCTATATAGGTATTAGCCGCCCCAAAGGGTATAGTTTTTGAGGCCGTTTTGGTCTGAAATAGGATATAGATTTTGACCATTTTGGTCTGAAATAGGCTATGTTTTGTGCAATCTGGCCTGGAATTTGGTTTGGCTTTTAGACGAAAACTATTTTTTCCATTAATATCGGAGAAGCCCTTTTCAATATTTGTGCATATGGAACCCATTCCTGGGTAGCTGAAGTCATGTTATTATACACGTGTACTAATTTGGTCTGAAATAGGGTATCGATTTTTGGGTCAGGTCTGTAATTAAGGTATGGAAAATCACATAATCTGGGTCTGAAATAGGGTACGGGATTCAATAAGCAGGCCGCACACCACCAATCAAAAATTTCAGGGAGTACACACCCCCCTCCCCCCCCCCCCCCCCCCCCCCAACTCCAGGGGGTCTGTCTTTGTTCGAGTGATGTTCTTTGTGTGGTGTTGTATTGCTATTTCGCGATGTATGCCTTTTCGAAAAGATTCGAAATGAAGCGTTATGTAGAGGATTCGGTCTTTCACGAGATCCAAATCAGTAAAACAAGGAACATTAGCGGCAAATATTTGGAGTTGCAAATAGAGATTTATCAAATTATAATTATTGCACGGTATATATTGTTGTGTATTTAAAGGAATTTCACAGAACAGGCATAAGTGACGGCCAACACAATTGACCTACACAAGTTACCCAGTGCTCGTCCCTGCAAGATACATCAGATTTCACCCAACCGGTAGATATAACCATAACTGGTCTTAGAGTGGAGGTGTACAGCGACAGAGCATGAGTAAGTAAGTAGTAATTTTCACTCATTTCATTTCATGTTTTTGTACAGTACAATGATATTTTTCAGGTAGAACGCTTTAATCCCAGAGGTCCTTTTACCCGTTCCTGCCGCTGCCTCGCTGGATAGGGTAACGAGGACTCTGGGAGCGATATTGTCCCCTTCGACTATTTGAGTGCCTCTGCGCACACTTTGGTTGCCCGGTACCGCTATGTCGTACAGCCAAGTTTAGTTTTAGTTTTAGTTTTAGTTTAGTTTAGTTTAGTTTAGTTTAGTTTAGTTTTAGTTTTAGTTTAGTTTAGTTTAGTTTTTAGTTAGTTTAGTTTAGTTTAGTTTAGTTTAGTTTAGTTTTTAGTTTAGTTTAGTTAGTTTAGTTTAGTTTTTAGTTTAGTTTAGTTTAGTTTAGTTTAGTTTGTTTTAGTTTAGTTTAGTTTAGTTTAGTTTAGTTTAGTTTAGTTTAGTTTATTTAGTTTAGTTTAAGTTAAATATGGTAGTTTAGTTTAGTAATTTGCCACACAAAGCTTATAATATTAGGCCCCCTCGTTACATTATTAATTTTGTTAAAACATTACGTTTGGAAACATGGGATGGACATTACATTGGAAATACGTTTATACAGGGCTAATAGTTTTTAAAGATATAATTTTATAAGTCCAAGTCCATTTTATAAGGCCCAGTTGCTCCCTCCCCCCCCCCCCCCCCCCCCCCCCCCCCCACCCGGTTCGACGGCATCTTGTTTAGCCAATCAAGATAAGACTAAGATTTGTTTTTTTATAATAGGCTTATGGCATTAGGGTTTTAATAATTACGACGAGTGCAATTATGTTTTATTATATTTATTTTAATTTACTTATTATTTTAATTCACTGATTTCCTCTGATTGAATTGATTGGTTAAATTTATTTTTTGTTTTTCTTATTTTCAGAAAAAAAGTATGATGTTCCCTTTTTTCTTCAACCGCACCGAGGATGAGATGGTTAGGACCAGCCTAACCGCTATAAAAATCCGTCCAACCCCCGCAAAAACCTCCACAAAATAGTTGACATGGCAGTGCTTTTTTTGCAAGAAGCAAACCTTAAGTCTATTAATGACAAATTACATTGGAGATATAATGCATAATAGTGAAATTATTTGATACATTAATATATGATAATTGTTATGAAATGTAACAGACTTGATTTAAAATAAATATATATATATTTTTTTATTTTCTATGCATTTTTGATGTTTTGACTAGGGTTTTTTTCTATCACCTTACACATTTCCTTTTCATTTACACACATACCCAATTGATGTAATGGTGCTTTTAAACTCTTTAGACAAGATAACCATTTGGGCGCTAGTTGCTTTGCCCTGATGAGTTTTGTATGTTTGTAATAATTGTCTTATTTTATTCCCTTCTTCCTCTCTGACTTCATATCTTTTGAAGGAGCTACGACACGGATGGCGACACAAAATAGCCATGCAGGCTATCCAATCAGACAGACTATCCAATCAGAAGCAAATAATAGGTATCCTCGGTTTTTTGATTGGATAGTATACTTGCACGAAATGATGTGAATTAATTACATTTGTAAGTGGTCACCCTTTTGGGCTCCTTGCTGTAATGTATCTTACTGTTGGTCTCCATACCGTTCACCTTTTCCGTGTGGCAGTGTTCATTTCAAAGCAGTGGTAATTACATCAAAATATTAAAGCCACTATATTTTTCAGCAAAGGAAGGCGTGTTTCTGTTGGTTTGGTGTTGCTCGATGTTCCTTGTCGTGAAAGGTAACTGTTTTTCTTTTTGCATTATTTTACCTCACGTTAAATTTACAGTGCTACGGATCTTTATACTGCGGAGAAACTTCTAAAACAAGACACTGCAAAAATGTCGATAATTAAAACTATATTTTTAAGCCTTGCCCCATTTTATCTCTTGAATATTTTTTTCCATTGTACATTCTGGCACATGCATCAGTGTTAGATCCTATTGTGAAGAACCGTCAACCGCAAACTGAGTAAAGTGTAGTTAGAACAGTAAAGGCAGTATACTGATTTGTGCTAAGGGTCGGCGAATGGTAAATTCGAGATCAGCGTTTTTCTCTACGCGCCCGAGACTTTTCGACGTTTTTAGATTGCGAGACCGAGATAGGGGCCCTGAGACGGCTTCATGAATAAAATCGAGACTGCGAGATGTACAGAATCCGCTCAAAAAACGAGACTGCGAGAGCCGTGAAAATTTCAACTAACCCTAGTAAAGAAATGTGAAAATGGTGAAAAACAACACGTGAATCATACCGAAGCCAGTAGGAATTCAGCGACTAACGCTAATTCACTGGAACTAATATCAGCTCATTGTGGTACAGACGAAAGAGTTGTGAAAAGAAAATTTAATGTACCGGTAATGGATCACGAGGAGAATACTTTCCATAAAATATCCCTTACAATGATGTGATGATGAATATATTAATGAAATCATATATATGAACTGCGGAAATGGAATTAAATGAATAAGTGATCATCGCAGTTATGAATGCAATTTTAAGCCTGAAAAAAATTCAGACTTCAGCAGGATTTGAACCCATGAGCTTCGCGTTTACTATAGTGCGATGTCTCTACCAACTGAGCTATGACGCCAACAATAATTAAGAAAGAAAATACAAAATAAATGAATGTTTAATGAATATCTGTAAATCGGATACAGATTTTGTCCCGATTTACATAAACGTTTCCTTCCATTTACTCGCCTAAAATTATTTGTATAGCCAAATCAACATGAACATTTAGATGCATTCGTGTCATAAGCTCGATACGATATTCGCGTCAGATCTGTGAGATTTAAAGTGGCTCGCCATATTGTAAGTGTCCATACAGGATCTGTCACTCATATTGTATCTATCACTTATTATGCATGTTTACGTCAGACTAGCTAATTTCACCTCCAAGCCCCGCTTTCGAAGTCCAAATCTGTAAATTTTATCATGAAAGAATCCCCAAAGCACCAAAGATGAAAACGAATGCCCACGTGAAAACATTTATTTACATGCATCTCTTAATTTCACACTGTAAATATTATATCTTGAGCATAAATTAAGGTTATTGTTGTTGTTGTTGCCAGAAGTTTGAAAAATACGTATGGTGGTGAATTTTTAGCAATCCACATTTGTTTTCTTATTCATCCAAATCAAAGTTGAGTAATAGCACGAACGCGAACGACTACTTCGAAAGTTGGCATGTCAGCCTCAGTCCAACAGTCCTGTTGCTTGGTAACAGGTTGCTTAGCAACAGGTTGCTTGGCAACTTTCTTTCGCGCGAAAACCGCCCCTGAGTGATAAAAAGTTACTTTACCAACGTAGAAGTGCTTTTGTATGTTTGCGTTATGCGTTATGTAAACCATGTAATATCCACTTAATTCTATCACTATCTAATTTCACCTAACAATATAAGGACGTTATCAAGTAGATGAATGATAAGAAAATAGAAAATCATCAACCTTGACCTAAAACATAAAAAACAACGTATGGCAATAAGTAAGTATATTTTTCCCCCCACATTTCAAACGAGTTAACTGCTATGAAAGGTCATGGAATACTTTGATTCATCGCCTATTGCACATCAATACTCTTGTGAACACTGAACGAATTCATGAATTAATGATTACCTGTATCTAAATAGCAGTAATGAAACCACTCAATGGTGACACTGTAAAAATGTTGTCCCTGACAACGTACCACTTTTCTCATTTTCAAGGAAATATTTTTTTGATTATTACTAATTAAAAGGCTGTTCTTTGTTTTTCTCTCATCAATGTAATTATCCTAACTACAACTTGGATTTGTTGCTTTGCATTAATGGCCGCAGGTACTTGTAGTAGCCTGGCTGAACCTGAAATGAAAACAAAGTTGGCTCGTGAGAAGAAGTTATGCAATTATGATCTAGCTATGCAACGTTTATGTTACTGATAACACAGTTGTCTATAGAAGACGAGTTTTCTAAATGAATTTCAGCTGTCTTACATTACAGTGAAATGCACCCTACCGTTGCCACTGGGGAAAGTTTTTGATTAAATTTTGACAACTTTTTGACATCTTTTTGACAACTTTCTCATGGCTTTCATTTCAACTGGCCAATCGAAATGCGGAACTCCACGTTCGTGTTCTGATAATTGACATCTCCTCCTCCCACAATTCTCGCAATTTGCTAGTTTAAATAGAAGCCATCAGAAAGTTGTCAAAAAGTTGTCAAAAATTGATCAAAAACTTTGTGAATGGCAACGGTAGGGTGCATTACACTGTAAGCGAGTTATTTTAACTTTCATTTTTACAACATTTTTACAACAAAAAGACGAAACATCCACCCAGAGACCAACCACACAAAATACGTCATTTCAAACAATTATACATGTACATGTAAGGTATGCCAAGATTATCCAACACTACTACACCTGTTCGTTATTCAAAGCTGATCTCTGAGCCCATCTAAAAAGGTCTTCATATACGTTGCCATCGTAAGCGTCCAAGCGGTGAATTGAGTACGTAATCTGAATAATCAAAAGCGTCTACCAGAGACACTGCTTCAGGTCTGTACGATAAACAAAATAAAATGAAAACACGTCAACACATCTCAGTTTAGTTGAACATAAGTGGAAATAAATGACAAAAAAGTTATAAAGAAATCCCGAGCAGATTACTTGCAAACATCGCGAGCTGAACGTCCTTTCACAAAGAGTTTTTATACCGTAACATTTCGATAATAAGCCATGGGCCTATATTTATCCATACATTTTTGGTGGACTTACTTTCGGAAGGAAGTTTTCGTTTCAAAAATGTTTGGGCGTTTTTTTTTGTTCAATTTTATTAAATGCAACACAGAAACATTACATCCAATACGAGTATACATTACAATTGTTTACACTGCTCGCAATACTTAATGTTTACATTCTTTACAAAATAATATAGGAATAAGTTAAACAAGACAGAATATAAGTGAATTACAAAATAATTGCCCATTTTTTGTGAAACTTTATTAACGATTTATTTGCAGTAACGATCTCTTTTAGTATTTCATGAAGCTGCAGAAGGAAGTTCCGGAAATATAACTCATCTCCACGCCCGTTTGTACAAAATATGTGATATTTTGCAATTAATATACTGTAGTTTAATGCCTGCCAGTTGGTTGATTTATCATGCCAACCATATAAAATGTTGCTAGTATTTAAAAATAAATATTTTCGCGTGTTTTTTTCGTACCACCAAACTTACAACCAGTTTCTGAAACAAAACGGCCACCTTCTGGAAATGTTTGGCTTTATGGGGGGATTATGGGAATTTTCGGTATTAGAACTAACCTGAGTTGATCCATCAAGGCGTACACTTGCTGTCTTATGATTTGAATCTGACCGCAATCCAGAACTCCAGCCTAGAAGTAACCAAAGGCTCGTTGGTCTCACTCACGTAACAGAGTTCTTATCTCTGTATTTTGTTTCGGCTACGAATCTAACGTTTTTTGTGCCTACTTTATATGACCGTAATCCGAAATACATGAATTAGCGTATGTATTTCAAAGTAACGACAATAATTAAACTAATGAATTATTCATTATTCGAATTGGACGACAGGAAGTCCCATTACCATTACATAGAGGTTGTTTTCTCACCTCAAGAAAACTGCCTGAGTTCTCAGCAATACCCCACAGGACAAATAAATCTGCCAGAGATTTGAGCACCCTGCGCAAATTTGAACTCACGCCTGATAGCTTCTCCATTGACTCCAGTAAATATAACACCATTACACAGTTACTATAGCCCTGAAAATAAACAACACCATTACACAGTTACTATAGCCCTGAAAATAAACAACACCATTACACAGTTACTATAGCCCTGAAAATAAACAACACCATTACACAGTTACTATAGCCCTGAAAATAAACAACACCATTACACAGTTACTGTAGCCCTGAAAATAACATAATGAGGATCAAACTGCGAGTTAAACCGTCCTATGCTAAGAAACGTGCATGGTAAAGTCCTACCCAGCCACCTCCTAGCCCTTTTCACGAAAATCTTCTTGATCTGACGAAGACCTAACGTTCGAAATAGCGTCAGCTATGAATTCTAAAACAGCATTTGTTTTACCTTGCTAACTAAATATACTCTTGTAATTATAAATTTGCTAAAAAGGTCACTAAAACGATTAAAGGCTAAAAATGCTGATAAAAGTTCTAGAAATTCCAAACGCCTCCGGCTCGCCATTGTAAATGCCCATACAGATTTGCCGCGAATATTGTATCTATCACTTAAGGTAACAATCTAACGTCAGAAAGCCGCATTACCGTGACACTGTGGCGCTAACAACAAGCTCTCAAACTCAAACATGTTTGTAAGCATTTACCTTGGCACAGCGTACTAAGTCTACAGACACTTCATTCCAAGCATCTGCAGAATCCATTCCAGAAAATATTCTGCTTTGTAACCTTTCAGCTACAGTCATCACCTCGCTGTAGTTTGGTAAGAAAGTAAATCATGAAAGTCAAGTATTACAAAATCCATTTGACACTAAAGTAAGAGGAAAAGCGATTCTGATGCGATGGGGTTTATTGTTGGAAACTTTGAAAGGTACAGCTACCAATAAAAATAAAAAAATATATAAAAAAACTCAGGAGTAAACGAAGAAACAAACAACCTACTCATTTATCATTGACACTAAACTAACCATGAAGTTCTATCCTGGTAAATTTTCCTTTGCACTCGAGGATCCAAGAATCCTGCACCACTTTTTACTGGGCACAGTTCTGTTTTCCCTGACAAAAAGGAAAGTGATAAGGGAGGTGCCTTGCCCTCTTGAACTTGTGAAGCGCTTTTTATAAGATACCTATTGAAAACAAAAGTCATCATACACTCGTAAACGTATTCAATGTGATGTGTTGTACAATTCAGTCAAGCACAGATGTCTTATAAGATACCTGTTGAAAATCAAATCATAATCGCGAACTGTTCGGGCAACCTGACAAAATACTGGGGTGAAACCTGTGATCGACCAGCATCCCATCCAGGGGGAGTACCAATACTCCTAGTCACTTCAAGCTACATAAACCAGAATAAGCTCCGCCTCTGTGAGCCCCTTTGGCCCGAGTGCAGACTTTACAACACAGTAGTATCAATCTTTATCCACATATATTTGCCAATGGGTTCAACCAACTGAGTTGGTAAAAACGTCTTATCGGCGCAATGGACTCTCTCCACTCAGGAGTATAAATGGGAACCGGTGAACTGTTAGGAAAACTTGACGAAATGCTGGGGGGTAACCTGCAATGGACTAGCATCCCATCCAGGGGGAGTGGAAATACTCTTAGTAGACTTCATGCTACAGAAACCGGGATAAGCTCCGGCAGGGAGGGCCAATTTGGCCCAAGTGGTGTGACTTTACAATTCACCACAGTCACGTTTTGCATGATCAGATCGAACACAAAGTCACATAGCTTACCTAGCTACCTGCAGGTAAAGAACATCGTTATCTCCCTCGTATGTGCATGAAGCATTCAATATCGTATACAACTCAGGAAGAGAGCTGTACAATAAGTAACCATGTCCACCACAGGCCAGTCGACATGTCTCAGTATGGCGCATGGATGTTGAT